TGCAGACTTTCTGGCTGCAAATGCTTTTGTTAACTCAGGTTTATCAAAACCCTTTGGATTCCTAGGATAACAGTTACATGAAAACAATAACACCAAATGTTAAAATCACACATTATAGGTTTATCGTTTATTTTTTAGAACAGCTAAAATCGTCAAATAGACCATTTTCCGTTCACTGCGAGAATCACGCGTTATGCGTGAAATCGAACGTAAAAACAGGACAAACAAAGGTCATAGCGTCGTAGTCGCGTCAAACATCGCGTGGGATTCGACAAACGCGAAAGTATTTCGGGGACATTTCCATGCTTAATAATGTGCTGCCCACATTTGATGATAGGCAATTTCGATTAAGTAAGGGTATTCGAATGCAATATTCCTCTGTCGAAGATCGGCCGGTCAATGTAAGCTACAAAACAAAGAAATTCTAGTTCAAAATCAAATCGTTCGATTTTTGCGGCAGACGTTCGACGCGCGTCTTTCATGCATCTCGCGAGATCTCGCAATTGTACGAAAAATCACCTATTGGAAACCATCGAGGGTCACTGCATAATGTTTGGTATGTGCCCACTAAATGATGGTAGCAAAAAAAACCCAGCTTTTATAAGAATGTGAATTAAACGGATATGAATAGAAATCTTACGTTTTACTTATTAATTTTAGTTCCCTATGCAATTCCTGGTGTTTTTTTGACTGTAATACTGGGTTTGGTAACGGCTTCGGTCTGATTTCAACATCTTCTTCATCAGGAGGGAACGGAAAACTGTCTTCTGCATTGATGTGGTCTGCATTATACAAAACACAATAAGTATTTTTAGAAATATGTAATTTAATGTCACACATTTCAGCAAATTACTCCAGTAAAATGTTGAGAATACAAGAAACACAGAAGGGTTTTTCAAATCATGAAATTTCTTTTTATCTCCATGTCCAAATCAACGTTTCGCACATAATCGATTAAAGATTTAAACAACACAACCATTTCTCCATTTTCAATTCCAGTCAATACCCGTACCACTTTCTCACAGTCACCAAATATGATTTATATCTATAATTTCCAAAGATTCTAATCGGATACCACAATTTTAGCTTAAATAGTGCAAAATTACCTTTTTGATAGATGCCAGCTAACAAGATGTATACTTTCCTCATGTAAAAAACTTGTATATTTATTTTGAGCTAATTATTTTTGTAAACATATGGGTAATGAATAGAATGCACATTTCCATAGCTCTAGAAATATACATATAGGGGAAAACAAGGCCTAAACCAATCCAAACCAGTGAGAACCAGTCACCTGCCACACCCATTGTTCTGATCACGCTTCAATAGACAAATTCTTTTTGTGACTTTACAAAGACCTGTAATCTGATCAGCCAAATAACATGACCATCCTAAACTTAAATACGGCCTGTATGGGTCAGCAGAGGGACATGCAAGAAAGTACTGTAAAATACTTTATTTTAGCTTGAATCAATTTTCGCTGAAAAGACTTTTTGGGTGTTTTGTATGCAATTTATTTATTTTGGAACAGGAATTTACTGAAACTTTGTCTTATTGTCCTTTAATTGTAATTGACTGTTTAAAATTGGCCATTTTAGTCATTTTTTTCATAGAAACAAGTTCAGGTTTTGTTTGCTCGTTTCATTTATTACTGTGAAATACTTTATTTTCGCTGAAAAGACATTTTGGGTGTTTTGTATGGAATTTATTTTCACTAATTTTTGATGAGTTGAATGTAAAATATTGGAAAAAAGGTATATTCACTTGATTTTATTTCCAATGAATCATTCCTTCAGTGAAAACAGCAAAAATTAATTCCAAGTGAAAATAAAGTATTTTACAGTATCCTCAAATTAACCTGTGTTTGCGATTTGCATCAATAGACAGTGAAGCTAAGCTCTATGCAACTAACAGTCTTTCACTTACAGATCATTCTATCACATACGCACACTCACTCACTCAAAGTGAATGGCACTAATTTCTATAAAATGTTATAAATGTACATACATTTAGTCAATGGCTCGAAATATGAATCATGTGCCTACAATCACAGACAGACAGTACAGACTTAATGAGCCAATTTATTTCTGTACCTATTATATGAGTGTATAATTCATCTGAACACAATAGTTATGTTTATTATGTGTCGGGTATTTAAACTATAGAAATTTTAAAATGAGCCAATATCTTTTGGAAATTTATGACTAACAAACCTATTTGTACAGAAAATAACTAAAATATCTCAATTTCTGTTAGCAGTTTATGACAAAGAAAGCTATTTATACAGAATATAGCTAAAATATGTCTATCTAGTACACTTTGGACTAAATAAATATATGAGGGAAATCACAATGCAAGAACACCTGGTGTGATAGAAAAAGTGAGAAAAATGATAAAATCACGTTGAGGTCAACTGAAACAGAAAAGAAGATAACAGAAAATAAAATTATCAGTGGGGCAAGATTAGTCTTCAAAATAAACTGAAACAAAAGATTAATTAAATAATAACAGAAGAAAAAAGTTTATAGAAATACGATAATTGCTTAACGTATTAATTGTCAAACTTTAAATCCTGACAACAGTATCCTTGGCTACAGTGAGATGATACTGATGAGTGATGTGAATGACCATTGCCATGGTAACAGTTTCTTTGATCTCATGAAACTTACACTTATGATGAAATGGAGTCATGTCATCAAACTGATAATCCTCTAAGTCGTAGTCTGGAGTAGGCGGGGCTTCATCAGGAGGTGGAACTACAGAACGTGGATGAGATGAAGATGATTACATTAGTATCATGACATGAATAACACAAGCAGCTGATGATATTTTCATCAAGGTGAAAAAAAACTTGTGGTACAACTTGTGGTACAACAGGTGGTATGAACATTGAACACTATCAAGTCACATTCACTCAGATTATACCACAGGTTCATAAGAGTATTAGGCCAAAATAAACAACAATGGGAAAAAAAAACGCAACCCGATATTTCATATTTTTCAGTCGGTCGCTGAGGGCAACAAAACAATTTTTTTTTGGTCTTATAGAAGCAGGGGGTATATAAATAAAAAATATTTTGCATTACAAAAGTAATGTCAATTTCAGATGTTGGTTATGGGATCAAGTTTTCAACAAAATATTTGAAACTGTGAAATGAACTGTGAAACAGTTTTTAAGAAGCCAAAATAAATAATCGAAATAAAAAAGGATTTACCATATTAGGAAATATTGATGACCAAACAACACTAAATTAATAATGACAATGTAGTGATAGATATATGTATGATATTTGCTGAGACAAATAAAGGCAGGTTTCAAGCCCACACCATCATACTTTCAAACTTCAACAATCGTTCTGAAACACAACTGTTCTATTAATAACTCTTTTCAACTAATTGATATACATAACAGAACACTAAAGCTATTATAACTGTTTCAAAACTGTCAGGATTCAAACAGATATAATGAAATAATTAGGAGAAAGACTTCATGACTATTCCCTTCATGATCTGCCAGGAAAAACTGGACGGTTAACAAATATTCAAATGTACCAGACACAAGCAAAGCTCCCATGAAAAATCAAATATTCCAGACCAAACTCAAAACTCCCATGAATGATCAAATATTCCAGACCAAACTCAAAACTCCCATGAATGATCAAATGTACCAGACCACACTCAACGCTTCCAAGAATGATCAAATGTACCAGACCACACTCAAAGCTTCCAAGAATGATCAAATGTATCAGACCACACTCAAAGCTTCCCTTGAATTATCAAATGTACCAGACCACACTCAAAGCTTCCCTTGAATTATCAAATGTACCAGACCACACTCAAAGCTTCCAAGAATGATCAAATGTACCAGACCACACTCAAAGCTTCCCTTGAATTATCAAATGTACCAGACCACACTCAAAGCTCCCTTGAATGGTCAGATGTACCAGACCACACTCAAAGCTTCCCTTGAATTATCAAATGTACCAGACCACACTCAAAACTCCCATGAATGATCAAATGTAGCAGACCACACTCAAAGCTCCCTTGAATGATCAAATGTACCAGACCACACTCAAAGCTTCCATGAATGGTCAAATATTTCTCTTGCAATGTATATTTCGCTTTTTCAATAACATCACGTTCACATATGAACAGCTTTCTACACTTCCGTCTCAAATAAATAAAAATTGAAATTAACAACCACTGTATAAAAGACTAGGGATTTGCCAACGTATGTGCAGCAGAGGTACAGAATACATAGCAAAAGCTGGTGCGACATGGTAAGAAAGCAACTGTCAGAGAAAAGTAGATATCAAAAACTAGAAGAGATTAAATGCAGTCATAGTTGTTCTGGAATTCAACTGAAAGAAAAGTGATGATTAAAGTAAGAAAACAGGGTTTGTTAGTGAAAGCATAGGGTTCAGGCGAATTAGACTATTGCGTCTTGTAACTTACACTTCAGATGGAATGGAAGATCACTATCATCACTGCCGTCATCAATCACAGCATCAGCAGCAATACCTATAGAGGATGGTGAATTGCAATCAAGTTGGATGTTCTGTCACACATGAGTATGTTATATATGTGCGGAAGGGGGTTACAGCACTGTCTCTTCAGTGAGACACATGCCTTTTTAGCAAGGTATGATAGTTTCGCAAACTTTGCAGTGCTGCATTTTCACTAAATCAATAATGTAGTTAATTCAGCAAGGCTAATTCATACAGTGCACTTTATGAAATTTAAACAAAATCAAAGTACCAATAATTCATGCAATAAATCAAATTTGCAAAAATAACATATACCAGCAGCTATTCAATGTGTACTACAGAAAAACATTCAAATAGGTGATTTCCCATTCATTGTGAGATCTTGCATCTTGCATGAAAATCACTGACTGTCTGCCACACCTGATTTTGAGTTCCCGTTTTTACATCTCAATATCAAAATGTTGATCAGTGAGAGGGGAATGTTGATCAGTGAGAGGGGAATGTTGATCAGTGAGAGGGGAATGTTGATCAGTGAGAAGGAAATGTTGATCAGTGAGAAGGAAATGTTGATCAGTGAGAGGGGAATGTTGATCAGTGAGAGGGGAATGCTGATCAGTGACAGGGGAATGTTGATCAGTGAGAGGGGAATGTTGATCAGTGAGAGGGGTATGTTGATCAGTGAGAAGGAAATGTTGATCAGTTACAAGGAAATGTTGATCAGTGAGAGGGGAATGCTGATCAGTGAGAGGGGAATGTTGATCAGTGAGAGGGGAATGTTGATCAGTGAGAAGGGAATGTTGATCAGTGAGAAGGGAAATGTTGATCAGTGAGAGGAGAATGTTGATCAGTGGGAGGGGAATGTTGATCAGTGAGAGGGGAATGTTGATCAGTAGGAGGGGAATGTAGATCAGTAGGAGGGGAATGTTGATCAGTGAGAGGGGAATACTGATCAGTGAGAGGGGAATGCTGATCAGTGAGACGGGAATGTTGTGGTGAGATACCTTCCCTTCATCCAAATTGATCATCATCAAATATGATGTTTTGATGTCATTACAATGACATGACCTGTTTTTCTCCTGTTTTTATGTTTAATTTAATGCATAAAGCAGGATCTCATGATGAACAAAAAATGAAACACAGTATTTAAGTCATCATAGAATACACACATACATTAATAGTCTATTTTCAACACATGAGGGCATACATTGGTTTGAATAATACATGTTTTTATACATTTAGTTGGGTGAAAAATATAAATATATTTGCAAGATCATCATTATATAATTAAATAACAATTAAGCAAGTAAAATGAATACTAAATGTTTTTTATGCTGCATATTTTAGCTGTAAAAAAAAATTAAAATAACTACATGTGTGGTATATGTGTACAGTAAATATATATCTTTTACAAAATTTAATATCAATGGTAGTCAGAAACTATATCATTGTGATGGGGCATGAAGCAAACAAGATAACTACAACATGACATAAATCTAAGTTAAGGTTTTCAATTATTTTTTTGATCAGCGGGTCTGATTTTGCATAACAAGTATTTCAACATAAGTTGAAATAAGCCGTTGATACAGACCATTGTTTACATTGGGTATGTGGTGTGATTAAGTTTTTTTTTTTTCTTAGAATTTTCAAATTCATTTTTTTGCACATACATAATAGGCTTTATGCATCACCTCCGAAAGTCACACATCCTGAATCTTTCTGTGAGTATTGTTATTCTATCGCAATAATTTACAATATTATACATAATTCTGGCAAAGTTTAACTGTTTTTTATTTTACTTTTGGATTAATTTGAAAACATATTCTCAATGACAGTCAATTTATACCAGGATGTACAACCTCCGAGAGGTCAAGTATAAGTTGTAATACTGATAACATCTCATCACAAGACAATTATAGGACTATAACACAAAACAAAAACATTCATTGTTGAAGTGCATGCATTATTATAAACAATCCCATGATGTACCACTTACACTGATGATGGTAAGGAGTTATATTGATGTCATCCATTTTATCAGTATATTGATAATCACTGGTATTAACATTACCTGTCAGAAAACACCAATGTGTTACTTAAAGATATACGAGGATAGACTAAATTATTGTGAACCTTGGAAAAATCTATGAATAATGAACCAGTGAATATTTCTGGAGGGCTTTGGGCTGGCCTTACATACAGGTCAGGCTTGGCATGCAAGTTCTCATGGTAATTTACTGAAGACATGGTGACAGACATTCAGTGATGAGACAGAACTCTGTGTTATCTATATATTTACACAGGAATTCACCAGAGCGCACTCAGAAGGGCATTCTGAAATGCTGGATTTTAAAGGAATGGGCAAAAAGTATTTTTCGGAAATACCATATTTTCCATATTTATGATTTACATGCTATTGGTGATGTGCTTCTAATAGAGTAAATACAGTACATGGTTGGTGTAGGAAATTGTTTTCCTCATTTCTGCTGGCAAATTCTCTATCCTTTCCCCACATATGCAAATGATTCAACCCTATACATGAGAAGCACGTGCTGCAATAAATATTGACATTATTACTACAGTTTTGAACATACATGTTAGTACTGTAAGAAGATTCTTGTTGGTTTAGTGGAACTAGCATTTAGGGACTGAAAGTGTTGTTTATGAGGGGTACTACATGTATCAGTAATAGGTGAGTTAAAAAATAATTCTTTAAAAAAAATTAATTACTTCATTACACTTACATAATACAATATTTTATTAATAAATGTATTGAAGGGACGACTAGTCGTAGGTTTATCATTTGTTAGTCTTCTAAATTACGATATTCACAAAATTCTATACTGAAATCACATGTCTACCAAGTGATGCATGGGCATAATAATAAACATCTACGGCAATTCAGAACGGAAAGGTCACCGCATATCTTTAGTATACCGCCACCAAGTGTTCAAATCGTATCAACAGAACTAAAAAAATAATGATATTCAGAATGTTGCAGCATTGGCATCATGGCTTTTGCAGTACACTCTTAGCCTACAGCATATTCATAGGTTATTTGTGTGACTGAAAGTGTTAAAAATGTGTTTCCAATAGTTTGAATGATCAAAAAAGTGCAAAATTGCCTATCAGGTAATCCTACTGGTATGGATCATGCACTACCAGACGGGCTTCCAGGTGATGTATATATTGTTATATTACAATGTAGCATGCTTAGTGACTTTAGAGAATGTTTGAATCACAGACCTATAGCTGCCTTAAGGGATAATATACAACAATGCCCCAAACATGGAAATAATAATATTTGCAGTGTCGTCCAAGGCAAAACAAAACTATGCCAAAATAAAAAATAAATACAAACAAAAGCAATGTTAAAGGATATTATATTAATAGCAGGTTGCAAGCATTATAGCATGCACTTACATTTATGGTGATAAGGAACACCATCTTTAGCATTCTCCTCATCATTGTCATCCTCATTACTTAAAGCATCTCCCTTCTGATTGGTTAATTGATTAGTTGCGCCTAGTGCAGCTTTCACAACATGGGCTAGTAAATAGTAAACAGATGACAAAAGAAAGTATAATAGAAAAACAAATAAACAAGAAAACAAGCAAATAAATAAATAAAAAAACAAGAAAATAAATAAATAAACAAGCAAATAAACAAACAAACAAACAAACAAACAAATAAATAAATAAATAAATAACACCTGTTTTTGCTGTTGTTATTAATACATATTAATTTTCTGGGTAAATAAACAGCAAACCAATTTATTTTGAATGAGAATAGAAAAGTGAAGATAAAATAGTGAAGCAACAAACTAATAATCAGCAAACAAATAATAATATTAGTTAATTTGGTATTATAAATGTTATCATTATAATTTGACAATGCATTCCAATTTTTTTAAACCATTTAGATGACACCAGGCAGCTTACTTTTTGACAATGACACACGACAGTATGGAGTGTGTTGGATTTTATAATTAACAGGAAGTGATGAAGTGAAATTGGATGTTTGGCTTGGTAATAATTTATAATGATATTGGTGGAATACAAAATGTTACAAGATAATTAGTAGATGAATACAGCCCTCAAGTCACTCAAATTTAGGTTTTAAATTCCTAAAATATCTAAATATTTTGAATGGTGCAAAGGGGCAGGGGCATTAATTAAAACAGTCACACAGGATACCTCAGTTACTAGGAGAAGCATCTTCTCAGTCAGGTGGAGCATTGGTTTTCGTGGCCTCCGAAAATGTTGCGCCATGGATGTACAATACTGTAAAATACTTTATTTTCGCTTGGAATTAATTTTCGCTATTTTTCGCTAATGGAATGATTAAGTGAAAATAAAATCCAGCAAATATACCTTTTTTTTCTATATTTTAAATTTAACTTGTCAGCAATCAGCGAAAATAAATTCCATACAAAATACCCAAAAACTCTTTTCAGCGAAAATTAATTCCAGCTAAAATAAAGTATTTTACACTAAATGAACTATGGGTCTAAACACATAAAAGCTAATAGCTTTTCCTCCGTCATTCCCTTGTGACTAGAATAAATCAGCGGATTTAATTTTCAAAAAACTCATTTGGATATAACACACGCACATTCTTTGATGTACTAAATGATGCATGCAGTTCCTGTTGAATTTGATAATGAATAAACTCACTTCAGAAAAACAGGCAGAATGAGTTAAAGATTAAAAGTAAAATTAGTTTTTAGTAGTCATAAGCTTCACATATAAAGCATTAGACAGTAGTTTTCTAGGAAGCAGGTGTTAGTCTAATCACAGTACTATAAATTTGTATGTAGATGAATTGTATAATAATGGCAAATGGATGCACTAGTATGTCATTGCAAGTTTGGCTATTTCGATGGTTTATCAGATAACACACTAATCTACATGTAGCGTATAAGGTTGAATCAATTTACAGGTGTCTGCATTACAGCTGCACGTACTGTAAAAGTGATTATAAAGGAATGAGGTACATATCAATGAGGATGTGAAGGAGGAATAAGTAGCACAATAGTACCTTGAAAAAACTGCTAGGTAGTATACATTACAATATTTATGTATACTGTGGATTTAACATGACATCTAGGGTTATACAGGTAATTCAAGACATGTGCACATTCTACATTATTAGTAAAATGCATACATAAAGAAAAAACCCAGATAAAGTCTAAAAACCTCAATAAATCATTATTTATAACACAACATATACAATTGGTAAAGGTACTTTATTTGGCAAACAACAGGGGAGCCCGCTGCTGGGATCAGTCAAAATACATAGCTTAGATCAGATGCACATAGGCAGGATCTGTTGCCCATGTTTTCAATGAAAAATGGAAACACAATCATGTCACAGATGTACTTTTATTGATTTTTCATTTCAATTCAATCACAACCATGACCACATCTATGCTCTTTCTGTCATTATAGTAAATGTAGTGAACTGGAATTTTTTTCAACATGTTTTCTATATTCATTGTTTTCTGTTCTCAATTATCACCCCCCACTCCCTATATTTAGGGGGGGCCTATGCTTGTTCCCTCATTTTTTTTGACCCCCCCTATCTAGGGAAAAGAAGAAAATTTAACCCCCCTTTCACGGGCTTTTCCGATGAATTTCACCCCCTATCTAGGGAACTTTTCAGTCTAGAACTCCTTTTAAACCCCCCTTTTTTGTATATCTCGGGAAGTGTTTTGAAATACACCCCCTATTTTGAAAATCTCAGGAAAACAAGCAAAAAATACCCCCTTTTCTACGATTTTCTCGGGAAAATGTTCCCGAGACAGATCGTCAAAAAGTACCCTCTTTCCCGAGAAAATGGGAACACGCATGCGGCCCCCTATGGATCCTGAGTGGGGGGGGGGGGGGATTATCACATTTTAATACATGTACTCAGAGCACCAGAACATGCAATGTAAAATTTAAGGCTTGGTTTTTAAGCATCCATTCCATGCCTTGCATTTTATACATCCACCTAACAATCAAATAAGGGCATGTTTTGAGCCATTTTTTATTATTAATTTTTATGGTCAATTTCTATTGTTTGCATTGGCTGTGTAAAGACTGTAAATTTTCAGAGATATATTGAAAAACTCTTTAACATTGAATATTTCACTGGTGCCTTCTAGACAGAGAATCACAGAAAATTTTCAACATCACATCCTATAATAAATCATCAAATTTAACAGTTTACAGAATAATAATAATTTTTATATAATTATTTGTAGCAAAACGTTGCTAAAATGCTAAACGCTAACAAGGTTGTTCATACTTGACCCCGAGAAAGAGTTGTCAACTCTGACGATGAAATCAGTATAATATTACATCTGCAAAAAATATTGATTTCTATTAATCTGCATCAGTTACCACTGTTTTTATATTTGGTAGATTTTAACGGAAAAAACACAGCAAAGGAAGGAAATCTATACATACCGGTACACGTTGGCAATTTCCCAGCAGTGTACATGACAGATGTGATATTAACATATGTATGTTCAATGCATGCGATGTGACTAAATGAAATCCTTTATCATATGACATGTGTACCAGGTTTATGACAATAGACGGCATAGTGATGTAATTTAGTCAGCTGACGTGCGAGTATTCACTGTATGCGTATTGCCTTACATGGAGTTGGTAGGTGTATGTCATGTGACAATCAATAAAAGGTCATATGCATGCTTCTGAGGTTTTCCCTCTGGCAGAGCCCAGTTAATTGAAGCTGTGATTGAGATGGACTGCCCCCAGTTTGACTTATCTATATTAAATAGAGGATAGTATAGATGTACAATGTACATGTCTCAATTATAATTGGATTTTTATATAATATTTGAATCTACAAATGCTGGAATATTATAAATTTGATATGGTTAATTAAGAAAATATATGCTCTATTTTTCCGGTACCTTTAAAGAATATATATATGACCGTCATTTTATTGTACATGTATACGAGTATACGGTTGCTGCAATTGTTTGGGAAAAGGTGTACAGTAGCGTAGTAGTGAACATGCTTACATAAATTCCAGAGGTATATTTATGGTCAAAACTTATGGTCATTCATATTTTAATAATCAAGCATATAATAAATGCACTTTTTTTTAACATGCACCTCTAATAGAGTAATTATGGTACTGTGCACAAAACAGAGCTTTGGATCCTCTGACAATATTGTAAAGTAAGAGAGCATGATTGCAAAACGTTTGTTTAGATGGATTAAAGAGAGGTGAATGGTGAGAATCCCTCCAGGAATTCTTTGACCCAAAGGAAATTAATTGTACATATGAGAATGACATTCTGGTGTTGTTGCACAAAACAGAGCTTTAGGTCCTCTGGCAATATTTTAAGGTATAAAGAGAGCATGATGGCTGCACTAACTGAAAAACTTTTGTCTAGATGGATTAGGGAGAGAAGTGATTGGTGAGAATCCCTCCAGGAATCCTTTAACCAGCAGGGAATAAATATAGGATGATATCCTGGTGTTTTTGCACAAAACAGAGCTTTAGGTCCTCTGGCAATATTGTTGAGTGAGAGAACATGATGGCTGCACCGATTGCAAATGTTTGTGTGGATGGATTAGGGAGAGAAGTGATTGGTGAGAATCCCTCCAGGAATCCTTTAACCAGCAGGGAATAAATATAGGATGATATCCTGGTGTTTTTGCACAAAACAGAGCTTTAGGTCCTCTGGCAATATTGTTGAGTGAGAGAACATGATGGCTGCACCGATTGCAAATGTTTGTGTGGATGGATTAGGGAGAGAAGTGATTGGTGAGAATCCCTCCAGGAATCCTTTAACCAGCAGGAAATAAATATACAATGATATCCTGGTGTTTTTGCACAATACAGAGCTAAATAAATAAGGAAATAAATATAGAATGATATCCTGGTGTTTTCGCACAATACAGAGCTAAATAAATAAGGAAATAAATATAGAATGATATCCTGGTGTTTTCGCACAATACAGAGCTAAATAAATAAGGAAATAAATATAGAATGATATCATAGTAATTATGCAGCTTGAATTTTGTTGACAAAAACTAAATTTGGTGTTCTAAAAATGAAAGAATCAGTGATCATGGATTGTCAACGAAGTTTAAGTAGGAGAGTGTGTTGTAGGCACTGAGTTAAACAGATTACAACTCTTGAAATAATATCCTTTAAAATACTTTCAACTAGACTATTCAGGTGTTGAATTAATTAGTATCAGTACACCCTACTGTGAATAGAATGTGACCTTTCACTGGGACAAAGTCCCAAAAAAATATATGCTAATATCAATTACAGTTTGTAATAATATATGCTGGCATTCTTAGAACATACAAATAATAAACAAGGTTGAATAAGTGGTGAGCAAATCAGATAAAAAATTCTTGTTGTGAACGGTGAGCAAAACATTCTCTTGAAATCAAGAGTGAATTAATTTATGTACACAGGTATCCAGAACTTTTTGTTGTTAACACTTTCTTGTTTTCAATATGGCGGTATGTGTAATTCAATACCACATTTTAAGAACTCACTGAATTTTTAAATATATATCAGGGATTGAAATAGAATTTTTTCCCTGCATGCATAGTGTGCATGTTGAATTTGAAATTTACCTGCACTAACTTATTGTGAAATGCACCACTTTTAAAGTTTAAACAAAATTTACAGGTTCTCTATTGATGTGATCACGAAAGAATTTGCTTTTTTTAGTTGTCTTACAATGTTGGTTGAACTTAATTTAGGCTTTAGTGAATATAATGAGAAAATGTTGTGTTAATTTCTACATGCACAGCGTGCACATTATATTTTGAGTTTACTTGCACTAGCTAATAATCTATGTGCATAGTGCAGTGTGCACCAGAGTATATGTTAAATGCTGGCTGATACTTCTTCCCACCCTCATTCAGTTCAAAGTGTGGGTCCTTTTCCATTTTCCGGGAAAATTTTCTTACTATTTACGACAAAGATTACTTAACTGATTTGGTGAGCAAAAATTCTGCTAACTTGAAAAACTTTGCACACCGAATTTTGCTCACCAAATTTTTGCCTACCAAATTTTGTTCACCATTCAAGTTCCCCCAAATGTAATAAAGTAATTGACACGGAAGTCAGTGAAATAAAAAGTACTATGAAATAAAAAGTACTACCGTAGTATGTGCCATTTTGTGACATTTGTAACGTATTTGCTGGTCAAGAAAAATAAACAAGGCAATATTTCAAGTTGAATGTATGACAATTGGATTAAAATGAACAAACAGATTAGACATATTCCTGAGTACCTGTTCACCTACTAAGCTCTCAACAAATTCCTAGCATTTAAACATTAATCTTCAAACCACAATTGAATTTGTCCTCCCCTCCCTTAGTTATTAGTCTGACTATGGTTTGTGTTCTGTACCAGTCTGCATTTTGACATTTGATACATGTAGTGGTTTCTGCTTTTAGAATGGAGTTCATCCAAATGTACACATAATACTTTACCTAAGATGAAAACACCATCCACTGGTAACAAGGTGGTGTTGCGTTTCGATATGCTGGTCAGAATGAGTGTAAAATATATGGCATGCTTAAAACTCTAATGAAAATGTGTATGGATAGTCACAGGTTGTTAATGTAATAAATGGTAATGTGTAACAATCGCTATGTAGACTTTTCCTCAGAAAAACAAAAAAACATGCGAGGAAACGAAATGAGATTTCAAGTACTTCTATTATCTGTTTAAAAATTGAAGGATACTATTGTCCTGAACATAGTAAACAGCTATAAAAAAGGTTCATTAAAATGAATTTCGGTGTAAGTATTATCTTCCTTATCTACTGTAAAATACTTTACCTTCACTTTGAATTTATTTTCAGTATTTTCGCTGAAGGGATGATTCAGTGAAATAAAATCCAGTGAACATACTCTTTTTCTTATATTTTAGACTCATAAAAAATCAGGGAAAATAAACTCAATACAAAACACCCAAAAAACCTTTTTAGCGATGATTAATTCCAGCTCAAATAAAGTATTTTACAGTACACATCAAATCGCAAATGTGTTTAATATGTGCCTGAAAACAGTCAAGACATTTAAGTTAATCAGAATCAACACATAAAATATTGTATGCTACATACCTGGAATAGGTTTAACTTTTCTCTGTAGTTCTAACAATGCCTGAAGATGAATATTGTGTTCTTGCTGCAAAATACAATGATATAGAAGATGATACAATATGGTGAAGAACACTGGTACACAACACACACAGTAGAATGGTAAAAGCATATAGTAATTATTTTACATCATAGACTATTTCTAACAATGAACAGCATGTTACATCTTTTTTACAGGAAAGGCGGTAGCTTAGGTTACAGCAGGATGGTGAAGTGGAAAAGTTAAAGGATGTGCAAATTCCATAGAATCAGATAACCATCCCTTGGCAAGAATAAGCATAACTCTCACATTGCAAGCAAATAAAGTAATTTTATTTTATTTAGTAAGCCTGATTATAGATTTGCCTTTACATAAACAAGTTTATAAGCAAAAGAGAAAACTTCAATACTGGTAGTACTCAGTTTAGGTTTGTTTGTTTGTTTGTTTGTTTGTTTGTTTTTTTGGGGGGGGGGGGGTATTATGTGGGGTTCAGTCAGTGTTTATATTGTGTTGTTCTCATGTTTTGCGCCCCTCAACCTAGACTGGCCCAGTCATGGCCTTTTTATTATTTTATATGATAAATTCTCGAGGATTGAGTGTGTAGAATCTTTCATGTTGACGTGAAATTTCCATATAAACAGGTCTGCTCTGTAGTGCCCTCTATATTTGTCACCATAAATATGCTAATAAGTATCCTTAATTATAAGCGGCAACCAATAAGAAAGGCAGCTTTTGATCTGACCTGTTCAACACAACTACAACGCATGCATTTTTTGCGCAAACGCACACCTACTTTCCGCTTTTGGAAGTGCTCTGTAACTTCACTGCATATCATGAATAATTAATAGCAATGAATACGCCAAAGAATAGACCAGTTATGATAATTTTGCATCAAACCAAAATTTAAGTAAAAACTATAAAATTGCCATGTCTGGGCCAGTCTATCCCTAACCCTCCAGCGCTGCCCAATTTAATTATACATGTCCCTCATAAGAACACTTATAGTTATCTAGAGGGGGGGGGGGGGGTACAGTTAGGGGATGTAAATAGAATTCTTTTTGTGCTTTGAACAGTATTACAATATTGTATGCCTGATGGTTTCCGAAACAGTATTAAAATTTACTATTTTTTTTTTGCTGAATCAGCTTATTAAAACCATTGGAAATGCAAATCACAAAATACATAGATTGTATTAATTGTATATTATCAAGAAGGGCATGAGAAGTAAATCATTCATTATTGTTACCAGTATGTGGCCACCATGTACCACAATCTGCCCTTCATGATACTTGTACCCAAAGAGTGCTAAGAGAGCTCCCAAGAGATTTGATAACTCCAGTATAATAACCAATTTAAATTCACACTACGGATAATTAAAATTTAATATTCATATTTTGCTTGGAAAGGTTGTGCAATATTTTATTGAGGGGTTTCATGCTCAAATATTATTTATAGATAATTTTATAGTAATACATTCTGTTAATTTTGCTCTTAAAACATTGACTTTCTAAAGCCACCATTGGGAGATACTGATACTAAGTACCAGTAAAGCAGAATAGACCATTTTCCGTTCACTGCGAGAATCACGCAAAATGCGTGAAATCGAACGTAAAAACAGGACAAACAAAGGTCATAGCATCGTAGTCGCGTCAAACATCGCGTGGGATTCGACAAACGCGAAAATATTTCCACATTTGATGATAGGCAATTTCGATTAAGTAAGGGTATTCGGAAGCAATATTCCTCTGTCGAAGATCGGCCGGTCAATGTAAGCTACGAAATAAAGAAATTCTAGTTCAAAATCAAATCGTTCGATTTTTGTGGCAGACGTTCAACGCGCGTCTTTCATGCATCTCGCGAGATCTCGCAATTGTACGGAAAATCATCTATTATTTTTGTATTCAATGCATGTTTCAAAGAGTACCTTTGTGAATGTCAATTGAGCTACAAGCAATTAACGCAGATCAGTAGGAAGTTATGAATGACGCGACTTTCCACAAGCAATTTGAATGAAAAAGCACAGAGCTTATACTTAGACCCGACTTTACTATACCATTTGAGTATTTTAGTTTGTGACTATTTTGTTGCAAATGCTTTTTTAAATAGATAATACATTTCGTAGGAATCAGAAAGCACTAGCTTTATTCAAACACTTTGCTGTATGAAATGCACTTTGAATACATAGATGTTATATTAAAATACACGTATACTGCAAAGTATACCAGCTGTTCAACTATCAGCAGGTTTTAAATAAACAAAGCTTAAATTTTGTCACTATATAATAATACACTATTTATATTAAATTGAGGAAATTCACATTTTTGTGTGTTTTTTTTCAACAAAATTTTCCAAACACAGCATGTATATATAAGCAGAATATAAAAAAAATTGAATCTGACCATTACCATTCTAGTCACTCTAAATTATAAATTGAATTATTACCGTTAATTTGACAAGGGGATTTGACATTTTCAATATCAGATTAAATTAACAGCCTTGATATGTTACGCCCTCTGGAGACAAGTCAGAGAAAACCAACCAGCATTGAGCAGAGACTATTACAAGTACCGGTAATTAGTTATCTCGCAAACGCTATCTGATTAGAGATACAGTACATGTAGTAAATTACATTTAACCAGAACATGTCTGAGTTTATCAAAAGACTGTTTTAACAAGCCTCCATAACAGATATCTTCAAATGCATTTATTTTGAATGACAGGTAAGAGAATGTAACACTGATTACCAAGTCTGTGTACGGTTACTAAAACTTTACTTTAATAACCGTGGTCTGTGGGAAAGCAGTCAAAGCCAAGCAGACTCTTGATGCCAAACAATTCCGCCGTGATGTTTTTTCTCTACAATTTGACATGAAACAATGTCCTTTGAATTGACCCGTCTAGTCTGACATTAACCAACCAGAATTCTGCGTCGTACTGGCACTGACATTTTCCTGAGGATTTCCGAATAATGATGATGCATTTTTTACAACACAATGCTGATTTTTAAATTTGATCAGTTGGCATTGACTTTAACAAAAAACAACATTGTTTTTATTTAAAAGCTAGTGGTTTTTAAAAAGTAAACAAAATGTGAAAGAAGTAATCAACACTTTCACAAACAAGTTATGTGAACAGCATTTTCACGTTAGTCACAATGGAAACTAGAAGTAAAACTATCGGGAGGGGGGGGTATATTCAATAACCGTTTTTTATGACTTGATGGTTTAAAGCGGGGGAGTTGTCACCTGCGCATTGTTCAGATGGCCATAGCGTGCCATTGTTTTTAACAAGCGTCTATCTACCCATGAGCCTTTGCATTTTTCGCGTGTGTTGTTATTGTCGCTTGGGACTCGATTACTGTGCATGCGCAGGTGACAACTCTCTAGCTTTAAGGTTTTTTTTGAATGAGTGGGTGCATAGTTAAGCATGGTTGGATGAGTACGGTTAATTAAGTAATTAATTAATTATTTAACATATGCGGGTATAATGCAGTGTAAGAGAATGAAATGAACAGGGTCATTATACTTAGTAGAATAAAATCATCTATATCTGTATTTACACAGTGTACATTATTGAGTGTCTACTGGTCTATTGTCAATTGTTCACATACATATACATTATCAGCTGGCCAAACAGAAATCATGTACTTTTCTGGCATTGCCAACAACCAATGAAATGATCTATAACATTAGTATGATATTCTTTGATTGGTTGATTACATGCATGTGTCTTACACATTCCAAATTCTGCTGATTGACATATTTGGATGTGGGTTGACAAAGCCAGCGAGGAATCAAATGTTATCTGTGTCTTCATTATTTGAGACATACCTCAGTAGAAGAGTCCTTGGTTTGTGATGTTATGGTGGATACAGGAGGAGACAGTGGAGATTGTTGAGGAGAAACATCCATGGATGATGAAATAGATTGATTAAATGATGACGATGATGATGTTCTAATAGACATTGGAAAAGCGGTTGGAATCCTTGGGGAACCCGCTATTCTCGGAGATGAAGATAGCTTTGGGGAATTCAGGGAAAACTTGGGAGAGCAGGAAAGATTAGGCGATGAACATGGAGACTGTCTTGTACGGTGAAAACTTGGTGAGTTCGGAGGTTTCATTTCTCTGGATGACGTTATTTGTTTAGGAAGTGTCATAGGAGGGATTTTGGTGAGCTGACGTGGTAATTTAGGTGAATAACATGGAGGTGATGTAGGTGGTTTCAACACTGATGACTGGGAAAACACAAAGACGGAGGAAAAGAAATAAAAAGAAACATACAGTTAGGAGTCACATGTTACACATACATTATAATAGCTGTCGATCCATAGCTTTTTTTATTTGCGATGCCATTTAGTGCCACATGTCTGTGTTACGCAAGTCTACGGGAGATGTATATCTCTTCTGCGCTGGTAAAATTTCAATATCCAAAAATAACAACTAGCAAATGACTAAAATACCATTACAAGAAACAAACAAAAGAGAAGCTATAGACCCACAGCTAACATTATAACCATATACTTTGTACATACAAAAGTAAAACAGAGAAGTGAGACAACGTACAGGTGATGGAAACAGAAACAAAATAAAAGTTGTGTTTACAGATAACTTTTGTATTTGTAAAACAATAATAAAAAACACATTGAGCACTTAAGTAGGTACAACTGTACATGTATAGGTAGTAGTGGATTACATACATCAGTGCTTAATACAAAACCACGATAACATCATTATATACATGTACTGTCAAGTTGCAACAAGTTTTACAATGATACAGGGAAATAACACTGATACAAAGTGGTTACTGTAGAATAATTTAAAAACTGTACGGGTAATGGTATCACAAAAATAATATTATAAATATGAAAAGTTTTACAACAAACAAAAAGGGACATATACTGCTGTGATTTCTGCTGGATTATGCAGTGTCTGAAAACTTTATTTTATTCAATGTTATTTTTGTTAATTTGTAATCATTACTTGCTATGATTATTATTTAATATTCTTTTATCTGAACACCTATCCAAAATCTGATCAGGGATTTTTTT